CATATAAGTCTGAGACACGAATTTGTTAGGCAACTGATTCAAGATGGAGTTATCACTATAACCTATGTGAGGTCAAGTAAAAACTTGGTTGATCCTCTTACCAAGGGCTTGGCCAGAGAATTGGTAAGAATGACAACCAAAGAAATGTGATTAAAACCCTTTACTTAGTCACCTGTAATGGTAACCCGACCTGAACTGAAAAACCATTAGTATCGGGTTTAATGGATAACAACAAGTTACAACAATGTGACTGTAAGCACTGACATTGAGAAATTTCCCATCACAACATAAACAATGTTGTCCATTATGATGAGAAGTTGTGTTAAACTCTTAATAAAGTTATGAAATGTGTCAAATAACGGAACACATAGTGGAACTTCACCTATCTGAACATAGAAGTGGTGCCGCTTTTCATGAGAGTTTGGGTTTGCTCTCGGGATTGTTAATGAAACCAGGAAAGAAGCACATGGCCATAACAGTGCTGAGTAAAACTTGAAACTCTTGCAGAGACTGGACATTTTTGTGTGTATGGGTGACTTCGGTCTATGTTGAAAGTAATTGGTTTAAGATCTTACCACCAATAAATTTGACAAAGCTCTAAGATATCTATACTAACAAAAGGTTTAAGTTGATAAACACCTTTTGTATGCATAACTGGACACGTGATTGAAAAATTAGCTTTTCTCTTACAAAACCCAGTTTTGAACTTGTCCCACATTAGAAAATTATAAGCTTTGTTTTTAGTATTTTAATAGGAGCTGATTTACACTCCTTAGAAATAGAAGATGAGAGTATGGGGGTTTAATACCGCGCAATGCGCACGCGTGTGTGTGCGAGGTGCAATGAGGCGCTTTAGAGGCGCACTTTGCTCGCACATTGTGTGCATCCGCATGGTTCACGAAGGACAACTTTAGTTTTGGTGCAATGCTTACTGTTAATGAGATCAATGGTCACCATTCGATCGGGTGTGATCAAGAGACACCATTCACAGTTAATAGTCATTAAATATTAACTATTAACTACTTTTTAAACAGTCACAATGTTTGAAATTGTGACTTTTCAAGGTGCCTTTTCTGAACCAGCACCTACATTTTGTTCATACCTCTTCATAAACTATTTAAGGAGCATGAATCAGAATTCAAAAACATATATTTTCGAAATCCACTTTCTCTCTCTCTCTCAGTCCGGTCTGTTATAGTCTCACAGAAGGTTTCTTCGGAGATTCTTCAACCTTGCTTGTTGTAGATTCTCACCCAAGGCTCTGTTGTATCCTGTGAACGGATTTGTGTGTAACCCAATAGCAAACTCAGTGAAACTAAGTGGGGGCAAGTAACGTTCTAAAGACATCGTTTTCAGATGCGCCTCAGAGCTTCTCCTCCAAAGTTACAGTGACCCTATTTACCAACACATTGTCCTTTCCAAAACATCAAATGAAAGACCCAACATTGAATGAACCTGAATGGACCCACTTTGGAGATTTGCAAGATGAAATGCAACTATGCAATGCTTTCTTAGGTCCCATTTGATTCGCCGGAATAGAGGTTCGGAATCAGAATCGGAATGGCCTATTCTGATTCCAGTTGTTTTGTTGGACATAATGAATCAGAATCCCATTTTCATTCTTGTTGGATTGGCATTCCCCCATTCAAGGGAATGACCATTCTCTGCCTCTCCCTTGGGAATGAAATCTCATTTCTGTTGATTCTAATTTCCATTCCCATTTTTATCTGAACCAAATATACTATGGGAATAGACTATTTTGATTCCAATTCCAAAAGATTTCGATTTTGATTTTGGTTTTGATTCCGATTCCAACTGTGAATCAAACGGACCCTCATTTCTTTTAAAGTTTTAATTACTAATTGAAATGCTTGATGGAAGTAGACTTATTCATGAGCTGGGCTTTGAGCCCAATTTTACACTCTCTTGGGCTTGGACTTTGGGCCGAATCAGCCCATTAAAATTTTGACAAAAGCCAAGCCCGAACCCAGCCCATAAACAGGTCTAGATGGAAGTAGAGAATATAAGAGCAACTCCCATAGTAGATGATGCCTTAGAACTAGCACATGCCTTCTTTCCTAGACGAATAATAAAATACCACATCAGCTTTGTCTACGCAGGTAGAGCCTCTGTACATATCAGGTTGACATGGACAAATGGTTTCAAGCTAGAGTGAGACTGTGGAGAGACCAATTAATAGACGAAGGAAACATGAAAAGTAGTCAAAAAAAAAGGACAAGGAGCAATGGCACATGCAGATGCAGCTAAGAGTCTGAGACAAGTCCTCCAAGCTAGCTACTTTATCAAAACATCTCTCTCCCCTTCTTATATGCATGCATGTGGGATCCATTTAAATCTTTAAGGTGGGGCTCCCTGTTAGGGGTGTCAATTGAACTGGAAGTGGTCCAATCCGGTCCAGTCCAACGTGAGTCCATTACAAATAGATCTGGTCCAGTCCAGTCCAATGAATATTTTGGACCAATCCATTGACTGTTCAATCTATTCAAATTCCTGATAATTTATATTGGTTTCAACTCAAACATGGTTCATTGACACCTATGTTCTTATCTTCTATCAATGGACCAGATATTGGCTCAATCCAATATAAATTCATTATGGACGGACCAGGTCCAATCCAATATGTCATATTGGTTTGTGCAGTCCGTCCAAATTTAATGTCTTATTGGTCTGTCCAGTCTATCCAAATGGATTTTGATTTGGATTGAGTACAACCCAAAACCGGTCCATTGACACCCCAACTCCCTATTGAGGGTCCCTTCTAAAAATAAAACTATGGGGACCTATGCGATGTGTGGGCTTTGTTAAGCGAAAGAGAAATAATAGAAATGCATCAAAGATACACAATTGTTTTATATTTTAACTTTTTAAATAATTAATAACTATTTACATTTTATATAATACTTTTAATAATTTTTACAAAAATACTAATTTGACCCAATTCGACTTGTGTTGGTTGGTTTATAATATTTCCGATCAGCTTTGGTTCAACAATTCCCAACCTGACTAGGTTGGGTAAGTTTTATTTTGGCCATTTGTAAACTGAACTAACTTGCATATTATATATTAATATTTTATATTTTAAATATATTTTTAATAGGGATTGTGGGAAAACTCCCATATTCCTTAGTCTAAAATAGATTATATCATAAATTTAATTCTTTAATTTATTTTTTAAAAATGCCACTATAATTGTTTAAATTTAAACTTAATTTTTTAGTTTAAATCTTTTGAACAACCAACCAAACTAAAAATTGACCTAAACCTTTACGATCCAAGTTGGTCGATTTTCACTATTGGTTAGTGACCAAGTCGATTTGGTTGGCCAAACAACCTGCAATCAAATGAACCAATTAGTGAACACTCATAATTTTAGCTAAGTTAATATTCTAATATCTAATAAATAATAATAGTTTAATCTCCAATAGTTATTGTAAATCTATAGCGAAAATACACAATTATTGAAAATAAATTTATAATGAAAATACAATACAAAACTAATAAAAATACAATAAATACTAAAATTATATTAAATTAGTCAATAAATAGTGTATTCTAAAATAATAGTTTAATCTTTAATTAATAAATTATAACTAAAATACATGATTACTAAAAATAAATTTATAACAAAACTACAATAAATACAATATGTTAAATTTAAAAAGTTAAATAATAGTAGTTTAATCTCCAACAATTAAAGAAGATTTTCTATTAAATAACATAACAAAAAAAGATTTATACATAATTATTGAAAATATGTTTATCACAAAAAACAATAAATACTTACTAAAAATATAATAAATATTAATTATAATATTTATAAATATAAAATAAATATAGATTCAGATTTTAAAATTATTATTAATAAATATTAATTTTTTGAAATATATTTTCTAGAATTATTAATTGATATAAGTGAAATTACTTTACAATATTACAAATTATTCAAGAATATAATATTAAATTGAATCTATCAAATCTAATAATCTACATTTATATAAAAAAATTTAATTTTAGAAATTTATAGAAATAAAAATGTTAATAATGAAATAATGATTTTAGTAGTTAAAAATTGTGAATTTGCATATGATATGTATCTTAGAAATTTTAATAATGTGATATAATTAGGTTGAGATTATATATTTTATAAATCATTAATTGATATTTTAATTTACATTTGATAATTTAATACTTAGCTGACTTCTTTGTTAATGTAAAAATGTAAAAATAGTAAAATAGAAAATAACTGATATAATAATTAAAATATAATAAGAGTACATGTTTTGCATTTTAGATTCTTGATTAATACATTATCAATAAAAATGTTTGATATCTATGCATCCTGTTATATTAATTTTAATATATTCTTTCATATACATCATTAAAATATATATTTTATCTGGATTTATATATTATTTGTTGTTATTTGCATCGTTTCCGAACACTGTCATAGGAAATATTATCCCAACTTCAAGACCTGTAGACTATCCTCATCCATGTGGCTTACATTGAGAATCTTTGGGTTTAAGTCTTGTTTTGGGTAAATATGTTATCCGGGAGAGTACCAATAGCACGTACTAAAAATCATAATAGCCTATGGCAAGGTAAGAGGTTAATAAGCTGATTTCGACATTGAAAGTGGAGGTATTGTCCCCAAATGAGGAAGACTAATGACAATTGGGCCATTTTGTCTTGCGAATATTTGAACTAGAAGATCAGTTAGATCAGATGGAGTAGTAGTAGAAGGAGCAACTAGATCGAATGAAGTAGAAGTAGGATCACCTGTTCTACTGGATGCAAAGCCAATTTGTGTTGACCCTATGTATTTTGATGATAACAAACGTATTTATATCTAAATTATCTGACACGATATCCAATATTTAACTCATAAAAAATACTTAATTGACACTAAATTAATTTGAATTTTATTATAGATGATAATAAAACCAAACACTATATTCATTATCAAGTCCACTTGGATAAGGTTGAGGGTTGAGTTAGTCCGTTGTAAAATTGTAATTCACATGCACGGGGTGGAGTACTGATTTACTAACTGAATTTGACACGGATTTCGATTTATGCGGTGGAAAGATCCATAAAAACCCCTAATTAATAAAATATGTGGACAAGAGTCTTGAAATTTTCAGTGCTGCTCCCTCCGGGCCCCACGGCCTTTTTTTCAATCTCACTGAGGGCCCCAACCTTCTCCCTAATTTTGGTCCCTTCATCCTTCGACAAAATCAGATCCAGAGCGTTCACTACTCCATCCCTCGTAAACACCCCACCCTCAATCTCGACCCCAATCCTCCATACATCGGATACCATCCGTCCGTTCAGCTTTTGATCTCCGTACAACGGACGATAGACCATCGGTACTCCACCGGCGATGCTCTCCGTCACCGAGTTCCACCCACAGTGCGACACGAAGACGCCAACGGCCGGATGCTCGAGAATGAGCTTTTGTGGGGCCCACGGGACTAGTACTCCCTTCCCTCTGGTTCTTTCCACGAACCCAGTTGGGAGGTGCTCCTGGAACTTCTCTCTGAGCGACCACAGAAACGGTGCGCCCTTTGCCTCCAAGCCTTCCGCAATGGCGGCCAGCTCTTCCGGCTGGGGTGTCGTCATCGTGCCGAAGCTCAAGTACACCACTGAGTGGGTCCGTTGCTGGTCCAACCACGGGAGACAACCGGTTTCATCCGGACCGGATGGAGGTGGAGTCAAGATGGCAAAGGGCCCCACTGTGAGGCATTTATATAGTTTCGACTTCAGATCATCAAAAATGGTGGGCTCCAGCTCCCGAAAGGAATTAACGACAACTGCGGCAGCACGTGGCAGCATCTTCCCCATTTGACACAACATACTGGCGAAGGGCGAGTCCAAGTTCCCGGTAATGATCCCTTCCGGCAAGTCCCCAACACGCAACGGTGGCAGCCCCGGAATGGATTCCAGCGGCTGGTCCTCATTCCCGACTATACTTGCTTTAGTGCCAACCGTTGATCCACATTTTTCACCAGTGGAGCCCACATGAGTCATGTGGCGGATGAAATCAGTGTAGTAGTGAGTCGAAAGAGAGCAGAGCCCAGCCGTCCAAAGTGGGACCCAGGGAACACCGAGCTCATCGGCAATATCAGCCGCGAACCACAGAAAAGCATCGCTCAACACGCATGTGAACTGCCTTGAAGTTGCCCTGGCCTCCTCCAGAGCCTTCTTGAAGTTATCCGGCGATGCTTTGAGAAACAACCCGATAGCTTCTACTGGGTACCTCGGAAGTTGGTCGCCGGCGGGAATCCCGTCTGCAACATCATAGTTTCTGATGTTATCGTGGAGGTGGTCTCTGCCGAAGACAGAGCAGTTCGACTTTGCCGTACTGAAGAAGGAGAAGGTTACGTCTGGGGCAGCAACTGCTAACCTGCGGGTGAGGTTGAGGAGAGCGGCTGCGTGGGCACCGAACGGGAAAGCCAAGACGGCTACATGAGGTTTAGTAGTTTTGCTTTGGTGAAGAACTTCAGCCATCGTAGAGCAGAGCGCAGCTGAGTTGAGTGATGGTCGGAGCTCAGTCCAAAGAAATGGTCCGAAATGCATGCGTAGATTGAAGTAACTCTGCAGCAGCAGATATATAGACCATATCGGCATTAAATTATCGGTGCTTATTCCCAGCTATCATTAATAAAAAAGAAGGCTTTGATTTATTATTAGTGGTTGTAGCGGTAGCGATGTGAGGGTAGTGTAAATAAAGAAATAAATTATATATCTCCATTAGGTTGCAATTTGGCAGGTCCATTACCGATTCAACCCAAAATTTTATACAGGTTAGACTTAGATTTTCGGTCTTTCGATTGGGTTCATTGACCAACCCAAGCTCAGATCGGGCCCAAGCCAAACCCGAGTGCATCAAGTTACAGGGCGGGCTGGGCTCGGGTTGAAAAAATCGGGTTTAATTTCAGCCTTGAGCCTTAAGTCTAAATGTTTGAGCCGGGCCTGGGCCTGGGCCTGGGATGACCATAAACATGGTCAAATATGCCCAACTTACACCTAGACCTGTTTATGGGCCTGGCTGGGCCAGGCTCGGGCCAGGTTTTCACTTGTCATTAATGAAAATATACTAGGCCCGAGCCCAAGCCCGGCCCGTCCAACGGGCCTATAACTTGGGCCTGAGCCCGGCCCTGGTAAAAAGCCCGAAACTCGAGCATGAGCCCGAGCCCGAAGCCTGACCTAATTGAAAAAAACAGATAGTATTTTTTTTCTATTTAAATGAACAATAGGCCTACAAGATGGTATTTTTCCCTTTCTTTTATATTTTAAAACATAATTTTACATTCTTAAATAAAAAAATTTATTCATCGGGCCGGGCCGGGCTTTTTGGCCCGACTTTAAACCTGCAAGCCTATAAGCATATTCAAGTCCGTCCGAAAATCGGGCCGGGCCGAGCCGGCTCGTCAGGCCACCCGGCCCATGAACAAGTCTACTTACACCCCTATCTCCTATAAACAGAGAGAGTTGTAGCATGCTCTATAGACGCTCCACATAACACTCTGATCGTGCATTGGAAACATCTTTGAAATGTTTCTAATACATGGTTGGCATGTGCTGTAAAGTACCTGTAGAGTATAAATGTGAAGTCCTAAGGATGGGAGATGCATGGAAAAAGAAGCGATGGACTGTGGGGTGGATATAGAACGTACTTAGTGGGGACACTTGGATATGCTAGTTGCCATATTTTATGCAACCAATCACGTGAATACATGAGTACCGTTCCATATACATGAGCGAACTTCATAGGACCAACAAAGGCATGAGCAACCTAATTCGCCTACCTTTTGACAAAATAAAAAAGAAACGTTAATATCATGAACTTCACTGACCCAATGACCCCTGTGATATGATCGAATTGTTGATTCATTCAATAATTTTTGGCCGGTTTTTTATAATTATTTTTTGATAAGCCATATATTTAAACCAAACAATCGAATCATTAATCCAAAAACCAATAGCCAAAATGGTTTCGATTCTGAATTAATTTTTAAAACCTTATGAAAACCTCATTGCACAAATGAATATCACAGAGAACTAGCAACCTCATAACGGACGGGAATCTTTTCGAACTCACAATATCGTGCTAGCAAGAGGAAAATAGATTCTCGCTAGATCAAGTGCGATCCAGTAATGAACTATCTCTCTCCCAAATTGAAGAAAATACGATCTTGCTAAGACAAGCGAGATCTAAAATTTGAGGCTAACAGCTACTATGATCTCATGACAATTGGCAAAATGGGTCATACACGACTCATATTAAAGATTGCATTGCTTGGGAGCGTTCTCAAGGTAAGACACACGACTACCTACCTCAGGGAGACCATGCTTGGTTGTACTTAATTTCTATGCATACACGCGTCAATCCTTGAGTGGCCTCTAAGAACATGTTTCTAGCATGTTTGTTAAAGTAACAAAGATTGTAGAATATACAATTCCATGCATGTATAGCTTGGCTCCCTAACTCTATAAACACCGGGTGAGGACCTTGAGAGAGGGATCCTTTCCCTAAGCCATTTTCACCCTAATTCCCTTCTGATAGTTTTTTTTCACCTTTAGGCTGTGTTTGGAAATGATGCAAAGGGAGTGTAAATCCTGGTTTAGGGTAATTTGCACTTATGTTCACTTTCGCCTATGTTTGGCAATATTACATTTATGTATTGACAAATGATAGAAATAGGGGTGGCCACAAGCCAAGCTCTTTACGAGATACTCGAGTTTGGCTTGGCTCAATTTCAACCGAGCTTCAAGTTGAGCTCTAGCCCAATTTATAGGCTCGTTTATTAATTGAGTTGAGCTCGAATATATATATATATATATATATATATATAATAAAGATCTAGAAAATAATATATAATAAAAATATTATAATTTTTTATTTTTAAATATCAAATAAAGAATATTTTTTATTTTTATAAAACATTTTTTCTCAAATCGAGCTCAAGCCCTGTACTACCTTGGTGAGTCGAGCTCGAGCCTCGTACTATTCGGCTTGGCTTGGCTCGAATCCACCCCTAAACAAAAGACACATTTTCCAATGCATATTTACATTGATAATAAGATGTAAAAGTACATTAATAAAAAAGAAGTAAATTTGCATTCAAGTGTGCATTTGATAAAAAAAGGCATATGCTTTATTGGAATTCGTGTTTGCATCCATTACAACAGTAAGAAGGTAAATTTGTCGATGCAAAACTAACCCAACTTTACAATTTATATGGATCATTTTACACTACATATTTTCATTCATACTTATTTGCATCGTTTCCAAACACAATCTTATGAAATATTATCCCAACTTCAAGACCTGTAGACTATCCTCGTCCATGTGGCTTACATTGAGAATCTTTGGGTTTAAGTCTTGTTTTGGGTAAATATGCTATCAGGGAGAGTACCAATAGCACGTACTAATAATCATAATAGCCTATGGAAAGGGAAGAGGTTAATAAGCTGATTTCGACATTGGAAGTGGAGGTATTGTCCCCAAATGAGGAAGACTAATGACAATTGGGCCATGCTGTCTAGCAAAGTAATTGAGCTAGAAGATCAGCTAGATCAGATGGAGTAGTAGTAGAAGGAGCAACTAGATCGAATGAAGTAGAAGTAGGATCACCTATTCTACTGGATGCAAAGCTAGTTTGTGTTGACCCTATGTGTTTTGATGATAACAAACTTGATGAGGGGTAATTTGGTCATCCAAATTATATCACGACACGTGGCATCCCTGGACACCTAGATGACACCTCAACACTAAGTAAGCAAACCACCTCGGTGGAGCAACTAGCAGCACCTCGTCCAGGGCCAACCTATAGTGCAGGCCAACCAAAGGTACCTTGGTGTAAGGAGCGACTTCCTTCGAGGACTGGCCGAGCTAACTTGGGAATAGGTAGCATCCTACGAGGTGTGCTCACCAACTTACTCATTGATCCCATTATCAGGACCGAATTCTTTGGGAGTAGCACCGCTCAACCGTTAAGCCCACCTACTTGCATCACCCGCCTTAGAGCCGATTGAGTGGATCTTAGATCTCTCAACGGATTACGTAATTGACAATGATATTCTCTCCGAGCATAGCGGAAGCAGCTCTCCGAGAATCTCGAACCCGTTACGAAGGGCCTCCAGCCCCTCACACCCATATAAAGGCATCACTTTCCTAAAAGAAGGTATGTGCAATTTAGCTCTTATACACTCTGATCTTCTAACACTCTAATTCCTTCAAAAAATCTTAATTCACTGACTTAAGCATGAGAGTACCCACCTTAGGTAAAGCAACCCAGGCACTCTAATACTATTTCCTTGCAGGTCTCTCTAGAGAACTACATAGCTTGTTGATCAAACTAGCTCGGCATCCAAGCTACCTCCTAGCTTGGCTCCATTCAGCTCGACATCCGAGTCATCAGCTAGTAGGGAGCTGTCAGATCGTGCACCATAAATTGGCAYCTTCCATGGGATCACACAACAAAAAGTTGTAGTCTCATCTTGTTCTCTCATTCCTACCGATCTATTGGCTTCTTCAAGCAACCAACCTGCAAACA